CATTGGCGAAATCAAAAAAATAATGCTTATCAATATAACTTAAACAACAGAGCCATGAAAATAAACATAAAACGAAAAAAAAAAAGAAAGAAAAAAAAAACACATCACAGTAAAACAAACAAATAATTATACAATACAGCGACAATGTAGACAATGACAACACNAAAGTCTGTTATGGCCTCTGAAGCAACAGAGAGATGTTTTCTAATAGTCAGGGTTTCCAATGTTCTGAATGTACTTGAAAGTATTGTGTTTTACTTAAAAAACAAAGTGTTATAGTTTACAGAAGGTCTACCTACCTATAGGCTACCTGAATCTCTGAAATGTACTATATTCCTAAATATGCTATTGCTACACTTTATGGCAAAAATTGCACTTTTCTGTTGGTCTTGGTTAAGAACCTCCTTGAAAAAAATAAACAATGTTTTGTTGCTTAAGCTTATGTATTCAGTCATTATTCAATGGTATACTAAAATCCATGTGAAAAAAATTGCTTCTCACTGTTCTCTGGTCAAATATTTATATGTGATTAAAAATGCGATTAATTTCGATTAATTAATTACAAAGCCTCTAATTAATTAGATTAATTTTTTTAATCGAGTCCCGGCCCTAATAATTATACAATACAGCGACAATGTAGACAATGACGACACCACAACTAGTATTTCCGGCCGTCAGGAAAAATAGCCACAGAATGCACCATTCCATCACTGGTCCTATCTCAGATATATTTTCCAAATAAAAAAACAATGGCGACCACAGAGCTTGAAAAATATGTCCACGATTATATTTTTCCAATGTCATTTTCTCCAGAGGTAAAAAATGTGTTATCTGATCAACGAGAAGTTTAAATGTTGGGGGACGTTCATTCTTCCAGAGTAAAAGTATACATTTCTTGGCAAAATATGTTATTGTGATTAGTATTCTGTAATGTTTGGGGTTCAATTAAAGGGTTTTTGTCAGAGCATGAATCGAATCCCAGAAATGTTTCAAGAGATCAAAGTCCCTGCTCATTCTGAATGAGGTTAAGGATACGACAGATTACACTGTATATGTCTGTGAGTTGACATAACGGAATATTAGACATATCTGAATTCAGGAAGTTACAACTGTGTCGGCGTCTTGGAAAGAATCAGCCACGGGTCGGAAACATGTTTTATTGTTTCCCTCTTTCCTCTGTCTTCAGGTCAGTTTCCCACCACCTTTGTGGAAGAGATCACAATCCCCAGCAGCAAGCCTGGAGACAGACTTTATGTTTGCATCAATGATTTCAACTCCGCAGAGCAGGGGAACCTGTCCCTGATTAGAGGTAAGGACATACTGCATGCACCCGACTTTTAGAATACAGATAAAAGTATGAATCACTCGTCTTTATGACTACTAGTCATAAAACATGAAGACTTTTATCAGAGCACACTTAGGCGTTGTTATATTGTTTCTGTAAGTAGATTTTTGGCGCAGGATACAGGATGTAACACAGCTGTGTTTTAAGTAGAACCACTGTAACCTCTAATGGGCCGTGTTTCCTCACTTAGCCTAACGCTACTTGTTGATGTCGCTGTGCTCAGGTAAAGTGTTTGTTTTGTGTTGAAGTGTTGTGTTGTGTTAGACACTGTGACTTTGTCTTCATTGACCCATTTGTGCACTTTTAGTAGAACAGTTCCCAACCTTTTTCTTGTGTCTAGTTGTTTGTACAAATGCAATTTATAATGCCATTCCTGCTTGAATGGATCATAGTGAATGTAGACTAGGCACTGGTTTTCCGTCATGGCGTCCTCCCTCTCTTTTAAATGAACACGATCAACTCTAACTCAGAGCTAGAAACAAAAATAGCAAATGGTCAAACCTGTGATGTCACTCTGTCTCCTGGAGCCTCTCAATACAATGGAATTGGAAAAACACTCAAAGGTTACTGTGTGCAAACAGAGGGAAAGACTGAGAACTAGAACTGATGCCATGATGTAGGATTAACATTTAAAGAAAGCTTACACATTCAGTTTCACATTCACAGTCAGCTACTGACACATTTGTGCATCTGATTGTTTTAGTTGTTGTGTTGTTTAAGCCCATTAAATTAGCATTCATGATTTACAAGGAATTATTTTTCCCTACAAAAAAACGAATTTATTTATTTCATTTTTAAATGTTCATTTCTTGTGAAGTAAGTCAATTTACTTTCCCCTTTGATCTTCCACTATTGTTTTAGAAATATAATACTATTTAGATAAAAAGTTTTTTGACTGTTGATGCATTTTCAAATGTTCTATTCACTTGAACAAAACATGAACACCTCTCTTAGTTGTAAAATATAAATATATAAATAAATTATGAAACGTGTTAAAAAGCGCCACATAAAGACACACATCATACAAAGCCTCCTTCTGAAACTGCCCACTAGGTGTCCCTAGATGCCAAACTAAATGCTGCATAGACTGTCTCCAGCTGACCTTTTCTTTTTACAGGAATTATCTCACATTAGTTGTCGTTTTTTCTTATTTCTTATTTAACAACAACCTCAGGCATGCAAAACAGATGCAGAGATCCCTTTCATCGGTAACACTTGTTATCGTCTTGTTTTGTCCTTAGAAGTTCTAATAGTAGTCGTAGTCATAGAATTTGTAGTATTGAGAATTGTGCATTGAGCATTTTAAGTTAACATTGGAGACTCACAACTATTGAACAGTCCCAATAAGTCAAATGTGCAAATACATCAAAATGTCTTCTTATATTTAGATTTAACCTTTGACCAAATGTACTCAAAAACAATATTCCTGTATATGTTTGTACTGTCATAGATAAATAACATTTCCTGCAGAAAAGGAAACATAGGAGACAGTCTTTACTAGCCATTTGAGAGTATGAATTTCCACTGTGACCATTGGCAGCGTTCCAGTTGTGGTCCCAGACACAATGGGAGGTGGAGCCGCAGGTCTTTGGAATGCGACCCCATGACTTCTGGCCGACCAATCAACATTCCTATAATCCTGATCCTCTAGATATAAAAGCACCATTATTGACCTTAGAACTGTTAATTAAAAATGCAATAATAAAGGTAACCCGAGATAACCTGACAGAACCAGAGCTACCTGAACGTGGACAAAATATCTGGCACTTCATTGCAGTTCTTCAAATTCCAGTCAAGCTAAGTCAGTGCAGTTAATTAAGGCACACCTGATGGCCGCCCCAAATGTAACAACTACAGGCATGTTCATTAAATAATTAGATGACTAAATGGTTTAATTAGATAATGTAAGATTAATTTTATTTTTAACTTTTCTATTATTGTTTGTTTTATTTTAAGGGTTTGGTACCGCTGTATAAGTGTGGCTAATTTACCTTTACTGTCTGCGTGCAAAAAACAACAACATTACACATGTACATAAAGACAGCATGTGTCTGCTGTCTTTACCTTTATCTCCTAAAGTGTTCTTGCTTTGTCTCTCTGCATGTCCCTCTCTGCTTAAAACTCCCCTTTAACCTGTACTACTTAAAATGACAAATACAAAATAATCACATTTATGACTATCCGAGGATCTTAGCCATTTTAGAAACCTCTTTTACGATACGATATACTTTATTGTCCCCGTAAGGAAATTTGTTCTAGACTCCGTGCAGTTCCGCATACATGTACATATACAAACATAGTGGACATTAAGAGACATACACACATATCATCAGTCATACACCGTTTGAACAAACACAATACACAGACGCACATACTGACAATGGCGACCTATTGCACAACATTTAAAAAGTACATTTCATTACACTTGACTACTTTTCATTTCATGTGAACGTTTTCACGGTAATGTTTTAGCATTTAACTGTGACATAATTCACATCAGTATGTTAAATGTGACGCTCATTGTCTCTGGTCTCTATAGGTGATGTGGTAGTTGGAGAGGCAGGAGGGTCCATAAACCTCGATGAGACCTGGCAGCGGGGCTGTAATGCCTTGGGCGTCCGCGGACTCTTCCCCACATCATGTGTGAAGGAGCTGGCCCTCTCAGGTCGCTCCAGGCAGCTGTCTGAACGCTCCGCTCAGGCCCAGGCGTCAGAGCTCCCCCCGTACGCCCTGGGCCAGGCTCGGGCCCTCATGAGCCTCCATGCGCAGCTCAACGAGGAGCTGGACTTCCGCGAGGGCGACCTGATCATCATCACCGGCCTGCCGGAGCCGGGTTGGTTCCAGGGGGAGCTGAATGGCCACAGGGGCATCTTCCCAGAGGGGTTTGTGGAGCTCCAGGGATCCATCCGATCTCCTCAGGAGCCCGAGGACTGCCAGTATTTGAACAATGATTCTGAACAATATATCTACGAGGATCAATATGATGCAGAAGTTGTAGAAGGAGAGGTGTTTATGAGAGAGGAGGAGGAGCAGAAAGAGGATTTAGTAGAAGAAGAAGAAGAGGAAGAGGAGGAGGAGGAGGAGGAGGAGGAGGAGGGAGGTGTTTATGTTGTGGCACTGTATGACTTTCGGGCCATAGACCAAGGCGAGTTGAACTTTGATATGGGGGATCGCATACATCTTTTAGGCACTTTGGAAGACGGTTGGCTGGAGGGGGAGCTGCGAGGGCGACACGGTATTTTTCCTCATCGTTTTGTCAAAATAGAGGGCGACGGGGAGAAACCGCCAGAGGAAACAAATGTTGTTGAAGCCTCTGAGTCAGAGAATGATCCTGAATGGACCACTTATGAGGATCATACAGTGTGGGACCTGGACTACTTTGAGAGGAAGGAAGAGCAGAGGAGGCAAAATGAAAACAGGAGCACTGGGGCTCAGACTAACAACAGAGGACAGAGAGACGGGGGCAGCAGGCCTGAATCTCAGCCACGTAGACCTGTGGCCCCAGCCCAGAGGGGACCCGAGACACCCAAATCCATTCCTCCAGCAAGACCCAGACTCCCGTCTCGGCCTGACCTGCCCGCACGTAGCCACAGACAAAGCGGTCCATCTTCTGGCCCTAATCGATCTAGCTATCCTAACGGTAACTCTAGATCCTTACAGCCCAAACTAACACATAGCCTTACCCTCCCTAGCACTCATACTGGTTGGTCTAAAAACAGCAGATACTCCCAGAGGCCACCAAAGGACGCTTCCCCCACCAGTAAGAAAAGTGGTAGTCTTGGCCAGGCCTTATTAACCCTGGCTGAGAACCACCGGCAGAAGAAGCTAACCCGCCACGCTAGCGTCACTGATGCTGATATGATGATGGGCGGCGCTGAGGAAAGGCAACGTTCCCGGCAGCGTGGCTCCAATGGTGTCATGCCAACATCCTTGACTTTAGACGCCCTGGTAACCTCAGCTGGGGACCTGGAGGCTAAGCTAACCCAGCAGCTCTTTGAATTTGAGAAAAGCTTGACCTACAGCGATAGTAACGATAGCTCTAGTGCTCCTAATCACACGTCCTCTGTAGGCGACCTTAGCCCGCAATCTATGTCACGCCACTTCTCTATCATGGACTTCAGCGATGAGAGCGATATCATGCGAGGCACCTCACATTCGCCTGTTTCCCACCTATTGCAGTCGATCTCTGCTTCGTCCTCCCTAGAGAGACGTGGGACCCTTCGCCCCCCACCTCCTCGTCCTAAAGTCCTTCGCCCACCACCTCCACCTGGGTACAAACCAGCCCGCCCTGCCCCGCGTGCCCCTCCTCGTTTCCCGAGACAAAACACCACTCCTCCAAATATCTTCTACTCCCCTGATGAATCCGCTTTGAACCTCCTGGACGAAGTCGCAGGAAGGCAGCCTGAGTTTGGCGATCTCGCAGCCGCCCAGGAAGAAGAGATCCAGTGCCAGCTGGAAGCGGAGAAGGAGCTGGAGAGAGAGATGGAGTTGGAGAGGCAGAGGCAGAAGGAAGAGGAGGAGAGGTACCAGCTGCTGCTCCGGCTGCAGGAGGTGGAGCACGACATGGAGGCATATGCACACACGGCAGAAGAACTCAGGACAATGCTGGAGGAGGAGGAGGATGAGACGGCCCGCACGCAAGCCATGGAGAATCTGGAGTTCTGCAACTACACCCTGGAGACTCTGGCCCTGGAGCAGCAGCAGCTACAAGGTAAGACTGAGGGGGGGAAGTGTGTTGGGACATCCTCAACATGGGATGGTGGTTTAATCGGTTTGGGGCTTGAACTGATTAAACGACAAGACGATGTATTTGTTTTGATCTTGTTGGCCTCATGAACACAGTTTCACAGTTCTTAAAATCCATCAAGGATATCTGCGAATAATTGTAAGTAGATGCATCCATAGAGCAGACACAATAAACAATGATGGCCAAAATTCATTGTCATGTCATAACACTATATACAGGTGATCAGAAAGTCAATAAGTATATGCATTAAGCAAATTCTACTTATATGTTATAACATAGAAATTAGAATATACATATCAATACTTTTAATACAGTGTCAATGTGTTTTGCAGGGATTGGTGTCAATACAGCTATATCCTTTAAACTATCATTAGTGGGTTCAGCTGCCGACATTGAGCAGCTGATAAATACCATCAATATAAGATGTTAAGAAGTAGATGTTTTGCTTTGTTAGTCGGTGAGCTTCTGTATGTGAAAGGGTTACTTGGAAAACTGGAAGCCAAATCAAGTAGAATTTATTTTGCTTGATGTCATAGTTCAAGTCTGAGGCCCTTTTGCCCACAGGTTAGAAATACACGGTCACTGAGGACAAAATGTAATATAGCAGGAATCTAAAAGTGAGCCATCAGTGCTTACCAGATTTCCTTTTTTACCTGGGAAAGCACACACACTCACACAGACACACACACACACACACACACACTATTTAAATTCCACTGTAAACTCAAACAAGCTTACTCTCCGCAAGGACCAGCGGAAAGAGGATTGTGTATTTAAATAAAGGGTTATCATAACTGTGAGTGTGTGTGCAGATAAATGTGTGTGTTTGTTTTTGTGTATTTGGGAATAGGCCATGTCCTACTACAATATTCATTTATAAAAGGATTGTGAATGTGGAAGAATCAGTTTGATGCTGCAGGGTTCCAGGAAATGTGTATAAATCTTAGGTTAGCTTTGTCTGGTACTGTTTGAGTTTAAATGACTTTTTAAGTATTAATAGTTAATGGCTTGAACAACAACAGTTGTAGAGCCAAAGCTAATTGGCTCGGTTTGTTTTGGCATCTCGTACTGGGTGCACAGTTCTGACTGACAATTTTCACATAGGTACGAGGTGCATTCCTGCACATAGTGAGAGGGTAGGCAGTGCACGTGGGCCCCTGTCTCTCTTTCTTAAAGTCCTTCTATCTCTATCCAAATGTCCTACGTCCTTCACCTTCCTCACCATTTCCTCACGCTGCACCTTTCATCGTTTTAGTCCGTCATCTGTTCTCCAAAAGGAGTGAGGAGAGGGAATACATTGGGTGTTGTTTTTGGGGGATTTTTTAAAGTATTGGTGACAGACAGACAGACCATGGCCCGCTCTGGAGCGAGACCCAAGCTGTGGTTGAGGCTTGCGGTCAGGTGGCCCGTGGCACACTTCTCCACACTGTTCGGACTCGCTCGGGAGGCCAGGTCCACCAGAGTGGCAGGTAGGAGAGAACCACAGATGGTGTTTATAAGTCAGTGTGTGGACAGAACATTGCTGCTGTTTTTTAACATCACTTTTACCCACAGCTGCTTGCTACAGCAGTAGTTCTCTACTCACTCAGGCAGTTCTTGGGGGGTTTAGTGTCTTGCTTAGGGGCAATGAGAGTAGTTGATGAGCCAGTTTTGAATTGACTCTTTACTCATGGATAACACTTCCTTTGAGGGAGTCATTAAAATGTCACAGTTTTTAGCTGGTTAGGGATATAACAAGTACATTGGTTAAAAAATAGGGGAAACATGAGAAATTCCCTCAACTTGTCATGAGAATATTCACTGTTAGATGATTTGTACACTATTTGCCATTCTACTCTTTGAACCATGGAAGCGTTCACTTTAACATAACTGAGATATTTTGCTCTGCTCTGATTGGTCAGGCATGTGAGTTGCTTGTTTTGCTTTGTGAAGACTGTTTCTTGTTTGACAATTTGTGTTAAATTAAAATCAAATTAATTCAGTGGCATCTGCTTTTTCTTGCTAATGTGGGTCCTTGGACAATGTGGGCACTGTTGCAAATGATTTAGCACTAACAATTTTTTTCGGAACTTTGGATTGTAACATTGTTATTTTGAACTTGATTTTAAGATATTTGGTTTGCTGAATGAACCAAAGCAGGAACACTCATGATATTATCTCAACTGTCTCTTCAATTTTTATGATAATGTTGCTTTACATTGGATGAAGTGGCATTAACAGCAGAGCTCATTATTTCTAACTGTGACACACACACATTCAAATGTCCTCGTTCATTTAGAAGCTTTCAGTCTAATCACTGCTAACAACCAAGTTTCATTGTAATGGTAATGTTTCTCATTTTCAAGTGTTATCCTAGTTTCAGTATTTCATTCTTATTGAATTAATTCTAATTGAATGCCTCTCAATAATTTCCTATCAAAAACTGATTGTTAGACTCAGCTTTTGCTCACCTATTCTAAACTCATCTTGCTAATGTAATATAATTAATCCCGGATGTTACCACTCTATTCAAACTTTTCCACTCATCATGTTTGTCAATATCTCAAAACACTAATGTAATCAGTTGATTCTTGATTTTGTTTCTATTTTAGTTGCATGCAAATGAATCACATCCTGTTAGATGTTATCAATCACTCTGCAATGTTTTCCAATGAACGATCTTAACGTCTGTGAATGATAGGTATCAGCCTGCGGGTAGGAACTCATCTCCGTGGCTACAGGTGCCTCTAAAGGCCATTCAACCACTTTGTCTCACTTCACCTATCACGTTACAGGAATTCCCACACCCTACTTTCATAGTCATAAAAAAACAAACTGAGATGGTGACTTGATTTGTGAGAGTTGTGATACAGCACGGAAAAAACAGCCAAGCACACTCCCATTATTTGATACGTTATCAACACATTACACGGACACAAAAGCTTTTAGTTGGCTTTTTTTAATAGGATATTATGTCTCCTTTGTTTTCCCTTTTAAAGCCAACAGGAAGTTATGTACATATCAACCATAGTCTCAGGAACTATTCATCTACACACACACACACACACACACACACACACACACACACACACACACACACACACACACACACACACACACACACACACACACACACACACACACACACACACACACACACACACACACACACACACACACACACACACACACACACACACACATTCACCAAGGAGTGAGTGTTTTCTGTGTTTTTCAGGGTGTGTTCCTGAGTGTGACGTTTAAAAGACAATGGCAGCTTATTGTTACAAGGCAGGGAAGAATTCAACGTGGAGCTCGGCCCGCACCTATCTCTGCAGAGGCCAGTTCAAAGTCCTCATAGAATCTGAGAAAGAGTGTGATACTGCAGAAACAGAAAGTATCAACCATATGCTCACAGAGTATGATTGATAGGATTGTTCTCAATGTTTCTATCTGTTGTGGACTGTTGTGATTTTGTATGTCAAAAATATGGCAGTACAATCCGTATCATGAAACAGCGGTTACATTTTAATATATACTATAGCAATACTGTAAGGAACTATGACAATTTGTATAAATCAAATATAAGGAATAGTTCCAAAATATAAAGACCGCACCATATGCATAACATAAGTCAAAGAAAGTAAACTTTTATAAGATAATCAAAACAGTGGAACAAATTGTTGCATGGAAACCAGCTATTCACTATTTTTCTCACACATTAGTGCAGCTTCTCTTTCTCTGCCATTTCTGCCATTTCTTTGTGTTTCCTCTTTTCTTGTTTAAGCTCTTTGACCTTGAGCCTCGCTTAATTCTTTAAGCCCACTATTAGAACGCCTCCATCAGCCTTCATGACACCACAGCTGATCTATTGAACACTGTTTGAGGATCGGTTGCAGCTTCAGGTTTCCCTCCGTCAGCCACACAAACTGGGAGAGTCTGAACTGCAGACAGTCTGATATCTGACCTTATTCCTGGAAATGACACTCCTTTTTCTAGATGTGCTGAATATCGATCAATCCCCGGGCGGCTTCATTTACATACGCTTACACAGACATGGACAGGAATGTTGTATTTGACATTCCTACTGTTGACACACATACACAAACACACAGTTTCGGTCGTGTTCTGCTACTGAAAGCTGAGATGTTGAACACTGATAATTAAACAGTCTTACATAAGAACAGAACAATGTCCAAGTAGGATCAGCCTTATCTTGCGGAACTGTTTATCTGAGTTGAATATGAGTTTTGCCTCATGCACAATTTTAGTTATTAACTCATTTCAATTAATCAAACACGATGACTTGCAGGTTTTTTTACTTGCCATTTGATAAACATGTACGATAAGGATCTAAGATACAATAAGAGGATATTTTGTAGTGTATACATAGGGCCTTTTGTGTCTTAATGTGAGTCCATTTTGTTTTTTTTAAGCTCTTCCTTTATTTTTGGAATAAAATGTGGGCAAAGCATTTTTATTGCAAAGTATGTTTCTGATTTACCTGTTGTTTTCCTTCCCTAAATATTTTATTTCCTGATTTGTGAGAACGTTTAGCTTGGCTGGGCCAAGTTTAATCCTACCAGGAATTTAGAATATAAATCCTGGGGGAATACAACTTTGGGATTCAAATAACAAACAAGGTCCAGCTACTAATAAGATTTTAAATACTTTGAATTGATGGTAAACTGACACTATCCCCCATGTGTGTCTCTGTGTGTATCACGTGCACTTGAGTGTATGCAAGCCCTTTAAACCTGTCTTTTTTTGTTCCTGCCTCTTTTTTGTTTAGAGTTAAAGAGGGGGAGGGATATATTATACTCCAGCTTTATGAATAGGCCTCAGTTTTTTCTCACACTAAAAGATTGTGTCTCTACTGAGAGTGAGGACAGTCCTCGACAATAGTTCATTGTACACATCAGCAGCAATTTCTTTCAGTAGCTGCTCTGGCCTATTAAGTCTGCGTACTCTCAACATAATAACTA